TGTATGTATATATGTATATATGTATCTATGTATATATGTATATATGTATATATGTATATATGTATATATGTAGCTATGTATACATATATGTACCTTATTTGCATTCTAAGGAGTTAGGCAAGGAAAGCGATGATAAATCCAGGCCTGACTTGCATGTCTTAGGATTCTGAACTCTGAACAGTTTCAGTTTTGTTGTAAAGAGCGCGCTTCTCATTACAATCCTTGGACTAAGATTCTTGTTGAAGGCTTTCAGGGACGATTTCCGTTGAATCGACTCCCCCCCCACTCCCCTCTTCTGTGGTATTGTGTGTGTGTGTGCTTCAGCCAAACGTGCCCTTTTGGTAGAGCGAAGAGAATACATGAGCGAACCGAGTGATTCATAGACTTGGAAATGAAGGCGAAAGGAATGAGCGGAGTGAATGAGTGAGCTGTTCTAGATGTATCAGAGAGTGGGTGAACTAATAAGAAAAGATCTACGCATTGGGGGGACGGGAGAAGCAGTCGAAAGGGTCGCATTCGTTTCGCATTTGTGGGCGGCTTGAGGCTGTTTTTTCAAGGGCTTCCCGACACCCTAAACCCTACCCTAAACCCTTTGAGGCCAGTACATAGGCCAGTGCCTTGCCTGACCTCGTGCTGACCCCCTAAAACATGCCTCATCAAATTTGCCTCTTGGGATGTTCCCCCTTACACTATCAGTCCTTCATAGGGGTTATAGTACCCCCCCCCCCCCCCCTATTGTCATCCCTTTTAACCCTAAACCCTAAACCCTAAACCCTGGTAGTGTAAGGGGGAACATCCCAATAGCTACCTCTCAGAAACACAGGGTGTTCCTTCACTGCGCATGTGCTCGGAGCTGCGCATCCAAGGGCAGGGAGTTGGTGGTTTAGGGTTTAGGGTTTGGGGTTTTAGGGTCTAGGGTTTAGGGTTTAGGTTTTGTTTTCTTTTAGTTGGGGGCCGTGTCGGCTTCTGAGGTTTTTGTTGTTCACGATTGCAGGGTGTTGGCATTCAGGGTTTTTAGGGTCATGGCACTCAATCTCTCAACCCGAAGTGAAAAAAACACGAAGATGTTGCTCTAAGCCCCAAGCCCGAACTCTAGCTGTTTCGGGTCACCCTGACCCTAAACCCTAAACCCTAAACCACTAAACCCTAAACCTTAAACCCTAAACCACTAGACCCTATACACTAAACCCTAAACCCTGAACCCTAACCACGGAACCCTCAAACCCCTAAACCCTAAACCCAAAACAGCCGAAGTTTGAGAGCCCAGCTGCGCCCAGGGCTGCTGCTTCAGAATTGGCTACGGATCCTTGATGAAGCCCGGCCCTTGAACAGATTGTAGGGTTTAGGGGTTTGGGGTTTAGGGCTTAGGGCTTAGGGCTTAGGGTTTTGCTGTGATAGGGCGTAGATGCTGTGAAGGTCAGTTAGGCTTTGGAACAAGCTCGAAAGCTTTGTGAGGCGCGAAAGAGCAGCCTTGGCCCGATTGTGGAAGGCCATCTAACACTTTTCTCCCACCCCACGCCGTCCGAGGCGGCAAAGCCCCCATACCTATTCCTTTTAGGGTTTAGGCCTAAACTCAAGGCAACAGTCCACTTCTAAAAGCTTCTTCCGTTTTGGGACGTTCCGTCAGGGGGTTGTAAGAGGGTTCCTGGATCCGAGAGCCACCCTGACATCCACTCAAGAGGGTCCAGGAAGGTTTCAGGCAGGTTCCGAGAAGGGCCTCAGAAAGATTTGAGGAGGGGTCCGAGGGGGCTCCCACAAAAAATTTTGGAGGCTGAAAAATGCGTTGTTGAGCACCCGCCCCGCCAGAGTTTGACTTTATTAAGGGACCAGTACTGGTCCCGGAGAACGTGCTCCTGCACCGGGCCCATCGTGGGTGCTACCGACCTCCGAGCTGTGGGAGGCGGGCGAACGACCAGGCCCATCGAGGTCAATGGGGCTTAAGCGCCGCCCCCCCACCGTAGGGAGGCGGCTTAAGCCTTGAGTTTCGGTGGCGGGCACGTTCCCTCGATTTTTCAGATGGGCCCTACAACGCCCCACATTTCCAAGAGTCTGGTGGGCTTTTCGAGCTGTTCGAAGGCTTTAGGGGAGTTTAAGGTTAATGGGCTGCAAGGGGCGTTCAGGGGCTCGCTCAAGGGGCTTTAACAGGCGCTTTAAGGGGCTTTAAGGGCTTGGGAAGTGTTTGGGGGGGCTAAACTCCGAAGTCTGCTTCGCGTGAGGCCTTGCTGCCTCAGCGTCCAGGATGCCAGCAAGGAGGCGCCAGAGGGGGGCTGGACGAGGGGGGGGGGGGGGGGCAAGCACACCATGAAAGGGACGATCGTACCCCCTATTCTGAACCCAAGCGCTCTAAACCAAGCTCAAGCGCTATAAAGCCACAAAGCCCTGACACGAGGTTTGGAGACTAGGGCGAAGTCACGAAACAGATCCAAACCCCAAACGCTCTAACCTCCAAATCCACAAAACCTGAGCAACCAAACCCCGAACACTCCAAGCCCTATATCTAAACCCCCAAACCCCACTTTATACCCAAAGCCCCTAACCTGAACCCCTACACTCCAAAGACTCTAAGCCTGAAAAGGCCCAAAACTTTCAAACACTCTAAACCCCAATCCCCAAACCCCAAATCCTTAAACAATGGCCAAAACCTCCAAGCAATCTATGCCCCTCAAAAAAGCTCAAAAAACCCTCAACGCGGTTTTCGCGCCTGAGCGTTTTTTTTTTTTTAATTCGGCAGCACGCGAATCCTTGATTGAGAAAGAAGCTCCACCCAACAGGAAACCCTAAGCCACAAACCCTCCACAACCCCACAACTCGAAGCCCCCAGAAGCCTAGAATCCTTAGACCTATTTGAAATAGGCCGCCTATCTTGCCGTAAACCTTGAACCCTGAACCCTAAACCCTAAGCCCTAGGCCCTAAACCCTAAACCCTAAACCCTAAACCCTAAACCCTAAACCCTAAACCCTAAACCCTAAACCCTAAACCCTAAACCCTAAACCCTAAACCCTAAACCCTAAACCCTAAACCCAGCACAGAAAGGACTGCTACGCCAGCGACGTCCGGGACCTTGGTTCAGCACGCTCGGATGCCCGAGCCCGAGAGTGTGTGTGGTTTGTCGGCCTTCAGGTGGCCTCGTAGGGGGTTTGCTATAGGGGTCGAGAGCCCTAAACCCTAAACCCTAGAAACCCTAAAGCCGTAAAAATCCTAAAACCCCGAAACCCTGTTAAACCCTAAACCCTGAAGGGCTTGGGCAGAGGAGCCTGAGTCTGGAAACCTTGGCAGGCCCTTCAGCAATTCTTTGAGCTCCCGCTTTTTCCCAACACCCCAGGGTTCAGGGTTTAGGGTTTCGGGTTTAGGGTTTAGGGCGGTTTAGGGTTTAGGGTTGAGGGTTGAGGGTTTAGGGTTTCGGGTCTAGGGTTTAGGGTTTAGGGCTAAGTCTTGCCATGGACCTGCTCGGATCCACAAATTGGGGTTTAGGGTTTAGGGTTTCGGGTTTAGGCTGAAGGGCACCCTATAAACCCTAAGCCCGAAACAACCTAAATCAAACCGAACAAAACCTTACGCGACAAAGTCTCCCATCTGAAGCCTGTATCCCAAACTCCTGATCAACAAGCCTAAACTCTATAAGCAAGACCCGAACTTAAACTCTACGGTATCTAACGCCCAAATCCAAGCCACAAACAATACATGAACAAAGGAGCCCAAACCCTGCCGACGCCATAAGTTAAACTCGAAGCTATAAAGCTCCAAGGCCAAAAAAGCCCAAACCCTTGAGCCTCTAAACTCCAAACCCTCGAGTAAAATCCTAGATGCCCAATCCTAAACCCTAAACCCTAAACCCGTTTACAAACCCTCAAGCCCTAAACCCCAAACCCTAAACCCCAAACCCTAAACCCTAAACCATCAAGCCCTAGCATCAGTTTCAAGAACCGAAGCTAAGGTCTCTGCTCTAACAGCTCCATGGCCGAAGCCGAAACCCTGAAACTCCATTAGGGTTTCGGGTTTAGGGTTTTGGGCTTAGGGTTTAGGGTTTAGGGTTTAGGGCTTAAGGTTTAAGGTTTAGGGTCCTTATCCCCCCCCCCCCCCCCCCCAAGCTCTGTAAGGCCCCCTGCTTGGGCCTCCCCAAGCGCAGCATCACGCAAACTCGCGAAACCCCGTAAACCCAAGCTAAGCCCTCCAAGAAACCCCCCTTAAATCCCCAAACCCCCAAAACCCGAAAGCCTAAACCCCAAACCCTTAACCCCAAACCCTAACTCCACCTCTCAAGCTCCCCAAGCTTGCCTGGGAGGCCACCCAATTCTCAACCCTAAACCCCAAACCCTAAACCCCAAACCCTAAACCCTAAACCCTAAACCCCCTGGAGGCCACCCAGGGCCTCCTCAAGCTGAGCGTCCGCACCGTGGTGGGAGGGGATCGAGGCTGGCGGGCGCAGTGCCCAGCGAGCGCGCGGGGCCCCGGAGTTCGGGTTTAGGGTTTAGGGTTTGGGGTTTAGGGTTTGGGGTTTAGGGTTTAGGGTTTAGGGCGTTAGGGTGGGCATTTCGGGTTTATAGGGGTCGTTGACTTGTAATAGGGGTTTCAGGTCCCAGAGACTGCTGGCCGCGGTCCGGGTTTTGGAGGTACCTCATATCCCCCCACTCCCTAAACCCTAAAGCCTAAACCCTCAACCCTCAACCCTTAACCTTTTAAACGGGCTCTGAAGTATGGGCCCGTAGGTTTTTACAGGATATAAAAGCGGTACATAAGGAGTCCGCCTTTTCTAAGGTCCCATATTGGGACCATGCAACTACTCTAAGACATCTGCCGCCTAAGAACCGGTAAGACAAGGTCTGAGGGGTTCGGGTTTAGGGTTTAGGGTGTAACCCTAAACCCTAATTCCTAAACCCTAAAACCTAACCCTAAACCATAAACCCAAGAAATTCAGAGGTTGAGGCATCCTTCCGACTTGTTTTGGGGCTCCATGCCCGAAACTTGTAGCTTTGGCTGTGGCCCTCCTGCCAGCTGAGCAATGGAGGGAGTTTCGGGAGCTCTCCAGTCTGTTGTGAAAGATCTGGATGACATCATCAACAAGTCCACGAAGCTAGGTTGGTTCTTGGGACATGTTTTTGTTCCCTTAATTTGGGTTTATAAGGGGTCCTACATATAAGTATGCTTCGGAGGGCTTAACGTCCAACCCCAGGAAGGTGAAGACGTCTCTGCAGGGCTACATCTCCTCAGGGGCAGGGGGGCCCTCAGAGAAGGCAGCGCGCCAGGCCGAGGACCCCTGTTCCCTTCCCCAGCCTCTCGTGCTCTTGGGAAGAATTTTTAATTTTGGGGTACTATAATTCCCAAGAAACAGCCAAAATTATGGAACTTTAGCCAGGGTTCCGAATTCAGTATACTATAATTCCGAAGAAACAGCCAAAATTATAATTTTTTAGGCAAGGTTCCGAAATCAGTAAACCTTAAACCCTAAACCCTAAACCCTAAACCCTAAGTAGAGGCCTCTCGTGCTGCACTACCAGAAGAAGATCGACATCGCCCTCTCGGCACCGAAGCTGAAGGTCGATGACAAGGCCAAGTCCATGGAGCTGCCGGTGTATGTACCTTGTTTAGGGTTTAGGGTTTAGGGTTAGCTGAATGAGTACACTTCAGACTTTTTGGGATAGAGAACTGAAAGTGTGCATTTTTTTTTGGGGGGGGCTTATGAACTCAGCAACCAAGGTACTCTATGGTGAGTGGGAGAAGCTTAGCCCCTATGCGGACGACCCCTTGTCTTACTACCATCACTCGCCGGAGAAGTTTCTACAAAGGCAGGAGACAGTAGGAGGATTCGGAAACTCACTCGGCTTGTCCTTGCTGTCATGGTCCCAAGAGAAGACGAAGAGGGGACGCTTGGTGATGCTACCTCACTCCAAGACCCGCATTCTTTGGTCCTGCTTTGGGCTGCTCCTCGTCTTCTGGGATGCGATCTCCATCCCGCTCCTAGTGAGCTGGGATATCAGCAACACCTTCTTCTTCGCCTTGACCCTTCTTGCCATGATCTACTGGTCCATCGACATGCTCCTCAGCTCCCAGACAGGCTTCTTTGAGCAGGGCGAGCTGGTGCTCTCAGGAAGGCGGGTGCTGATGCACTACTTGAAAAGCTGCTTGGTAGGCCCTTGGCACACGTCATAATTCTCCCTGATTCGGCTTTAAGGGGATCAATCATATTCAGGAATATTTGTTCAGAGGGATTTTTAAGGGCCATCCGAGGCTGGTTCCTCTTTGATGCAACGCTGGTGACCCTGGACTGGGTGATGCTGAGTTTGGAGGGCGAAGGCACTCAGAGCTTCCTGATGGGCTCGAAGTTCATTCGGATCATCCGGGTTGTCCGCACCCTGCGCCTCATCCGGCTCCTAAAGCTCAACGACACCTAGCAGCTGAATGAGTACACTTTATACTTTATACACTTTTTGGGAACTCCCCTACAGAACTGAAAGTGTACACTTTTTTTTTCTTTTTTTTTTTTTGGGGGGGGGGGGGCGGCTTCTGAACTCAGCAGCTAAGGACATTGTGCGTCTTGTAGAGGAGCATGTGAGCAGTGGCCACACGCAGTCGGTGCAGCTTCTGGCAGCGGTGGTGAAGTCTGTGGTGACGATCATGTTTTCGGTTCATCTCCTCGGGTGCTTCTGGTTCTACGTCGGTCGTGCGGAAGAAGAGCCTCGGCTGGGTTTAGGGTTTAGGGTTTAGGGTTTAGGGTTTAGGGTTTAGGGTTTAGGGTTTAGGGTTTAGGGTTTAGGGTTTAGGGTTTAGGGTTTAGGGCTTAATTTCCAGGGTTTAGGGTTTAGGGTTTTTGGTATCTAGGACCCTTGGCATGATTTCTCGCATGCAACCTGCGTCACACGTCCCACAGTCCGCCAAGGAAAGCGGAGATGTCAACAACTGGCTCAGGGCCTCCGGCTATGTGCCTTACTGGCTCAAAACCCAACTTTTCAACTTTTGGGCTTCTTATAAGGTAGTTTATTGGGAAATATCAATTTTTATTTGCTTGGGTTTTGGGCCAGTAAGGTGCAGGGAACAGTGGCGGATCAGTACCTAGCAAGCTGCCACTGGATCTTGGGGCAGTTCACGCCTGCCCCGATGAACATCCACGCGCAGAGCAACGCAGAGAGAGCCTACAACATCTTCGTGATCTTCTTCTCCCTCCTGGCGACTGGGTGCTTCAAAGTAAAGTTGCCATACGAAGTAAGGCTGACATGGTTCTCGAACATGAACCCTAAACCCTAAACCCTAAACCCTAAACCCTAAACCCTAAACCCTAAACCCTAAGTTCCTTAAAAAAGCCAGCCGAGGTGATGGGAAGTGCGATTTCCCGGGTCTCCGCATCTATCCAGGCTGCCATCAAGATCCTTGGTGGCCCAAATGGTGCAGAGTTTGCCCTTTTCCCGGCCTGGTTCTTAGTATGGAATGAGGGGATTTAGGGTCCTATATATGCCCTTTCAGGGATTATATACGGTATACCCGGGTACCTGAACCACCCAGTTTTTTGTGTTTAGCTCAGGGGTTGGCTTTGGGGTTTGGTGGCAAAAGGGACCAACACCCAAGAAGGGTACCCCTGAACCCTAAACCCTAAACCCTAAACCCTAAACCCTAAGTATGCTTATCGGGCTACCCAGGATCAACTCCGAGGCTCAAGATCGCCGAAGACAGGTGACCCAATACCTCAAGGCCCGGGCGTCAGCCACGAGGGGGTTTAGGGTTTAGGGTTTAGGGTTTAGGGTTTAGGGTTTAGGGTTTAGGGTTTAGGGTTTAGGGTTTAGGGTTTAGGCCTCATCACCCCCCAACACGCCCAAGTTCAGCAGACTCCCCCAAGACCTCAAGGAGTTGGCCCTGAAGCATCCGTAGAGTCCTCTGAGAGGCATCGTGAGGCGCTCACCCTAAACCCGAAACCCGGGACCCTGAACGCTAAACCCTAAACCCTAAACCGTAGACCCTAAACCCTAAACCCTAAACCCTAAACCCTAAACCCTAAACCCCAAACCCTAAACCCTAAACCCTAAACCCTAAACCCTAAACCCTAAACCCTAAGCCCTAAGCCCTAAACCCTAAACCCTGGCTTGCTGAGGCCAACAAGGTAAGTCAAGAGCTCCAGATCCGAGTCCTGAGGCGCACGGTTTTGCGAACCACTTTTCAGGGGCAAAAGGAGGGACCCCTAGAAGGGACTATTAATCGTATAGCCCTATAAAACCCCTGTGTATACCTTATATAGCCCCTATATACCTAAGCAGCCCCTAGCCCCAAAACCCACCCGATTGTAAGGGTCCCTCCTTGAGTCCCTTGATTCTTTGTTCCCCTGCTGTTAGAACATGACACATATGGGAGCTTACATGAATGCAGAGTTCCACCTCGAAGCACGTTGCAACTCCTAGTCAGGGTGATCGTCACAAGTCTGACAGCAGGCAGAAAGAAGTGGAGCAAGCGGGAACATCACAAGCAGAGAAGAGAGGGATCTCTTAAGCAAGCAGCACCAGCAATGCAGACAAGAGCACCCACCCACACACAGAGCCTTCAGCTTCTTCAGGCTTTTCGGGGTGGGGGGGGGGGGGGGGGGGGGGGGGGGGGGGGGCGGGGGCGAAGCCTAAACCGTAAACCTCATCTTGGGCTGTGCAGGTTTGTGGACTACCACTTGTCCCGATTGCTCTCTGTCCAGCTGGATGAGAGCCTGCTTTCCGCGGCCCTGCTTCACTTGGATGTCTCTCTCATCAGCTCGAGAGAATTTTAGTCCCCCTTTCCCGAAAAATAAACCGCCCCCCCCCTACCCCGAAGATTAAATTCTCCCATTATTGTTATACTAGAGTATATGAGGGGGGTATTTAATATTAGGGGGTAGGGGGGTGGGGTTTTCGGGGAGGGGATTAGTGTTCTCCCTAAACTTAAGAGCGTGGGCCTTGTAATTTACCGGGACACAGGCTAAGGATTAATTTTGCATTTCTTGAGCGAGCCCTTTGCGAATCACGGACTAGCCCTAAACCCACAAATCCTACAACCTCTCCACCAGCAGCCGAGTAAAAGACTCCCTGTTAGATGGGTGGTTCTCTAGATTAGGGTCCCTTCTTGAAAATGCTACGTATGGTACGGCACCAGACTACCTCATAGCTTAGCCTGCGCTCATCCTAAGGTTGTGGGGTTTAGGGTTTTACGGTGTACCTCTTTCAAGGGTTCTCAAGAATGGACCCTGGGTTCTAGGGTATACAAGTATACAACGGTTTTGGGTTTTCCCCATTTAAGGGGCCTGAGTTAAGGGACCATGTAACTACCCTACGATAAGGGGCACTTGGAGGTTCGTGGTACTTATCAGCCATTTATAACTGTACTCATATCTGTACGTAGAACCATGTTTGGGCACTTAAGGGGCTTATAAGTGGGTTACGAGTACAGCTAGATGGTTAATAAGTACCATGAACCTCCAAGCAAAGCTTTCACCCCGAGCCACTGCAAAAGGCTCCACGGTTCAGACGGTCGAGGGTTCAGAGTCACCCGAAGCCCTAAACCCTAAACCCTAAAACCCTCAACCCTCAACCCCAAACCCTAAATCCTACACCCTAAATCCTAAACCCTAAACCCTAAACCCAAATCCTTCAAAGTTTAGGCGCTTCTTTCAGAGAAGGGTGCTTCTGAGCGGAGGCGGGGGGGGGGGGTGAGGGGAGACCAGTAACCCATAGGAAAGCTCGTTTTTTTAGCACAACCCGGAAAGAAATACCTAGACCACTAAATCCCGCCCCTCCCCCCGCAACCATGAGGACACCCTTCAAAGGGATTCTAAGAGGGGGGGAGTGTACCTAGAATCCCTATGAAGGACCTCACCCTAAACCCTAAACCCTAAACCCTAAACCCTAAACCCTAAACCCTCTTAGTATAAGTTGGGGAACATCCCACTCTGAGGACACCCTCGTGGACGAGCTCTACATGGACCGCCGGGGTCCCCTCCTTAAGTCCCATCCCATGTTCAAGTTCCTCTTCGACGTTTCCTCGAAGGCGCCGTTGGGGAGCGTTTGGGGTTTAGGGTTTAGGGTTTAGGGTTCAGGGTTTACTGTATAGGGATTTAGCTTCTGCTAACGGCCCTTCATAGGGATTACAATACCCCCCCCCCCCGATTTTCGACACTATTGAGGACCTGTTAGTATCTGGGGGAACATCCCAAGATTTAGGATTAGGGTGTTTAAGGATTGGCTTTTTTATCTTCTTTTTTGTTTGAGTGTTTAGGGTTCTTAGGTTGCTGAAGGTTTAGAGGTTTTAGGGTTTGGGGCTTTTAGGGGTTCGGGTTTTAAGGGTTTAGGGTTCAGGGAAGAGGTTGCAGCAAAGTACTGAGTAGTTCCGGGGTCAGCCGGGAGCGCATATCCTGCTTCTTTGCCGTCTTGCACTCTTCGGATGTACCCTGGCACGCCAGACCCCAACAGCTAGGTGTGGTGCTCAAGATAGTATAAGGTGTATGTGAAGATTAGGGTCTAGGGTTTAGGGTTTAGGGTTTAAGCGTACATGACTGTTATTGGGGTGTGTGCATATGTGTTCCTTACTGGTCTCGGTGAGTGTGCTTATGGAGTGTCCTTTCGGGGCTACGAGCACTTCTCGCCTTGCTTCAATGTGCTCTGTGCACACTTGGAGGTTCATGGTACTTATTAACCAATTTTAGGGTGTCGGGTTTAGGGTTTAGGGTTACTTCTAACTGTACGTAGAACCCTATCAGGGCACTTAAGGGGTGTACAAGTGGGCTATAAGTGCAGTAATAATTGGTGAATAAGTACCATGAACCTCCAAGCAGGGGGCCCTCTCAGTCCCTGTTGCAAGGCTGTCACACGCGTTTGTGGCCTGCTGAAGTTGAACATGTTTGAGGACGGGGAGTTGATCTTCGCCCGGCACACCCAGGCTAAGGGGATGTACATCGCCTGCGCGGGCAGCTATCTGCTCAGCATGTCGGGGAAGGACAGCAAGAGTGTCGTGGACACCTTCGAGTTCTATGCAGAGATCAGCCTCTACATGAAGTTCGTACATTCGATGTCGCTGTTCAGCATCTCTTTCAATGACGTGTTCTTCCTTCATCCCATGCAGCTGGCTGACTGCTTGAAGGACTTCCCGGAATGTTGTGGCTTCGTATTCCAGTACGCAAAGACCATGCAGAGCGATCTTCACAGCGGTGCACTGCTTGCCAGTGACATACTCCCCTTGGAGAGCATACAAAGTTGCTGCGAAAGCACCGACGCGCACAGAATCCTCAACATCTCCGACCGCAACACGCTGGAGAAGTTCGTGCTGCCTGTCGGGGTCAGCACACAGGAGTCTTTCCACGAGTGGGTGCAGTTCTTCTTGAAAAAGACTGACCCCGAAAATGTCGCAAGTCGGTACCACATGCTGGCAGAACTCACGCGCTTCTTCCCTGAGCTGGATATGGAGAATGGCACCCAGGTTGGTTTTCGAGACATTTCTTATTTTCCTTACTGTAGTCGGGTTTATAAGGGACCCTATATATAAATTTAACCCTAAACCCTAAACCCTAAGCCCTAAACCCTAAACCCTAAACCTATTTGGGATTAAAGGCCCAACCCAGGCACCTACTCGGTCTTCGCAGATGAGCCGGCCATCCATCGGGCGCTGTCGTCGATGGCCAGCGTCCTCTGGTTGGTCAAGGACCCAAGTTGAGGGTTTAGGGTTTAGGGTTTAGGGTTTAGGGTTTAGGGTTTAGGGTTAACGTATGGGTAGATTCTCTTTAAGGGTCCTCTCTTGGGGGGTCCTTGTGGGAATCCCTAGCAGGGCCCACCATTATTTGGGGAACTACCCATATGGTGGGGAAGGCTGAAGAATCATTCAAGAAAGGTAAAACCACTGTAAAGCCCCAAACCCTAAACCCCAAACCCTACACCCTACACCCTAAACCCTAAACCCTAAACCTTAAAACAGGACAACTTCGATGAGTTCAGCCGGCCCCAGAAGCCGGGGGACAAGATGCCCCTGGAGATGTGGCAGCGCCTTCAAGAGTTCATCCGTTGGACGGAGACTGGGTTTGGGGTTTAGGGTTTAGGGTTTAGGGTTCAGGGTTTAGGGTTTAGGGTTTAGGGTTTACGGTTCAGGGTTTAGGGTTTAGGGTTTAGGGCTAGCCCAGTGGTACCCCCTTTCCCTTGCTTGTTTGTGGGCTCAAGGTTTCCTTGTAAAGTAGCCCTAAACCCAGATGGTGACCGGGGCTACCAAGGAAATCCGGTCCGACATACGAGCTCTGTACGGAACCTTCGTACTCATCGTCGCGCAGGGCCTCTTGCTAGCCCAGTGGTACCCCCTTTGGGGTTTAGGGTTTAGGGGTTTGGGGTTTAGGGTTTAGGGATTAGGGTTTTAGGGTTTTAGGGTTTAGGGTTTGGGGTTTAGGGTTTAGGGTCCCCCTGGTGGCCTGTTGCCCTTTCTGTGGGGCTCAAGGTTCCCTGAAAAAAAGTAGCCAACCCCATATGGTTACTCGGAGGTTCATGGCACTTCGCCAATCTTTACCTTACTCGTAACCCACTTCGAAGCGCCTTCGGTGCACCTAATTATGCTTATAAGCACAGTCATAAGTACAGCAATCACTTGTTAGTAAGTACCCATGAACCTCCAAGCGCCGGTCCTACAGAGGCCTTGCCAAGTCGAAGCAGCTCCTCTGGCAATTCCCCGAGAAGCACCAGGAGGCGGACGCGGCGGTGATCCACATGCTGCGAGCGCGCCACAACGTCGTGCCCAGCGCCGCGCACCTGGACTTGGACGTGCGGACCGTGATCCGAGGATGTTCAGTAGTACCCCTTGTTCCCTTCTTTTTTGGGTTTCAGGTTCCCTTGTAAGCCACTTAGGGCCAAACAAAACGGGCCACCCTAGTGGGTCCTAGGTTACTGGGATTACTGGGCAACCCAGGTGATGTGTAGGGTGTCCTCTCTTCACCACATCTTCGCCATCGGCCAGTTCATGCAAGGAGAGAATCCCTGGTGGCACGGAGGTACCCTTTTGTGCCTTTTTTGTGTTGGGTTCTGGGCTTCCTTGTAAAGTAGCCCTAAACCCTAAACCCTAAACTTAAACCCTAAACCCTAAACCCTAAACCCTAAACCCCCCCAAAAGGGGTGCCCTCATTAGAGTGTGGCTACTGGGCTGCCAAGGAACACGCCCCTCAACCTCCGCAACTTGCAAGAGGAGCTAAAGCAAGAGTCTGACCCTGCAGTCTTCAAGCTCTTTCTGCTTCTAGGCCTTCTTTGTTAGCACGATTCTCCCTTCTTGGGGTTCAAGAGTATCCTTTTTATAGGAATCTGTTTAGGGTTTAGGGTTTAGGGTTTAGGGTGTAGGGCTATTAAAAAAGGGTGTCCCCCCCCCCTCCCCCCGCCCCCAAAGTCCCTAGGCTCAGTGAGCTGGTGTCGCTGCTGGGGATCGGGGCCAGCTCAAGAGCTTCTTCGTCATGGTTGGGTACCATTTTACATTTTTAAGGGTACTTAAACCCAATAAGGGTTTAGGGTTTAGGTTTAGGGTTTAGGGTTTAGGGTTTAGGGTTTAGGGTTTAGGGTTTAGGGTTTAGGGTTTAGGGTTTAAAGGGTACTATCCCAACCATGAGCTAGGCTTCGGGATCGAGCTTCTTGAACAAGCGCACGGGCCGCACGGTGATCAGCAGCCTGCAGGCCTGGGTTTAGGGTTTAGGGTTTAAGGTTTGGGGTGTAGGGTTTAGGGTTTAGGGAGTTTAAGGAGTTGAATTAGGGATTTTCAGGAGTTTAGGGACGTTTCGGGAGGTTTAGGGAGGTTAGGGAGGTTAGGGTTTAGGGACTTTAAGGTTAGGGGAGTTTGGGGGTTCAGGGAGTTTAGGGTTTAGGGTCCCGGTGGTACCCTTTTGCCGTCTTTTTGTTTGTTCAAGGTTCCTTATCAAGTAACCAACCCCAAAGAGGTCGCCTCATTAAGGAATATGGTTACTTGGAGGTTCATGGCACTTATCAACCAACTATAACTGTACTTATAACCCACTTATAAGCCCCTTGAGTGCCCTAATACGGTTATAAGTACAGTTAACCCTAAACCCGACACCCTAAACCCTAGAAATACAGTTATAGTTGGTTCATAAGTCGTACCATGAATCTCCAAGTACTGGGCTCCTAAGAGGCCCTCCAGCAGTTGGAGAAGCAGCCTTGCGTCTTGGCCGCTGAGTGATTCCCTTTTGGCCCCTTTTTGAGGGGTTTAGGGTTTAGGGTTTAGGGTTTAGGGTTTAGGGTTTAGGGTTTAGGGTTTAGGGGTTAGGGTTTAGGGTTTGGGGTTTGGGGTAAATTAAGGGGTTCCCTGGCATGGGTCGCTCAAGCCAAAAAAGGGCGCACCCTTATTGTAAAGGTGGCTGCTGGGCTACCAAGGCCTAGTAGTAGAGTAGGCAACCTTTCACCTTTTTGCGGCAAAGGTTGACCTTTAGTTCCCCCCGGGTTACTGGACCACTAAGAAGGTGTGCGAGTTTACTGGAACTACCTGTGCACCTGGGCCACCACCCTGCAACTCTGCTTGGATGAGCCCGCGGACTTCGCGTTCGCCCGCCTCGCCTGCATCTGCCGCATGAATCACGGTTGGCCTTGGGGGGGGACATTTTGTATGTTCTCACCTTTTTTGGGGTTTAAGAGGGTCATATTCAGGACCCTAAACCCTAAACCCTAAACCAACTTTCAGAGGGTTTTACGGGCCATCCGAGGAATGACCGGAATCCGAACCTGAAGCTCCTGTACCTGAGCTGGGCGAACATGCATCCGGCGGACAGGTGGGAGTCTACGAAAGTAGGGGACCCCTTAAAATCGACCCCCCCATGTGGTAGGATTCCCTAAACCCTAAACCCTAAACCCTAAGGACCCAAGAAGGGTGCCCCTAATTTCGGAAGCGCCCAGGTCGGTGCTCACGGACTTCTTCCTTGCAGATGGGATTCGAAATACTGCTTGTGTCTTCACCTACTTGCCATTGTGCTTCTGGGTAGTGCTTTGGGAGGCCTTTAAATGTCCCTTCTTTCCCTTTTAAGGGAACTTTCCCTTTTAAGGGAACCGACTCATAAGTAGTTTTAAACGCACCACTCAGGTTTTGACAATGCTCAGAAGAACCCGGTGGTGGGCTTTGCGACCATGCTGGATCTATTGGTAGAGCTTGTTGAGATCATCTGGTTCCTTGGGGAAACTAAGCCTTAAAGTGGTCCAGAAGGAAGCCTAAACAGAGGCCTGATAATAATAATCATCACCGTCGTATAGGGTATCTTAAACTATCTGGTCCCAGTTTTAATCGGGCTTCACATGGTCCCCAAGGTTGCAAATGGAGTCCAATGCCACGCCTCGGCAGCCCGTCCTCAACCTCTTTGACCTCGCAGCCTTCACAGGGGTCGTCCGCTCGCGGAGCGTGTTCTGCTCCTGCCTCGAGCACGCAAAGATCACCCAAACGCCGCAAAGTGACATGCAGCTCACGATGACCAGCAAGTGCCTCGGCACAAAAATGGCTCGACGGCTGAGAGGGCTTTCATGAGCTTCGGGATGCTTATAGATGAAGCATTGGTAGCGAATAGACCTTCATACACAAAGCAGAGTTTAAGCCAGGGGTGTAGCGCCACGAACACAGCAAACACAACACATCACGCGTGCTTCATGCATCAGGAAAGCTTTTAGAAGTGCATGAAGCGCCGGAAACGATCTTCCCCGACAGAACCCTAAACCTTATCGAGTTTAGGGGTTTATGGCCCCTAAATCCTAAGCCCTAAACCCTAAACCCCTTTGAGGGATTCGGGGATTCAAGAGGCCGCATGTCTTGTCCTGTTTTCTCAGAGAAAGTCTTGATAGCCCAGTGGTACCCTTTGCCCTGTTTTTGGTTCAAGTAAACCCTTACTCCCCAAATTCTAAACCCTATTCCCTAAACCCCCAAAACGGGTGCCCTCAATATAGTATGGTGACTGATCTACCGAGAAAACGAAAGGAGGGGCCCTTAATATGAGAACCTTTGGGCTTGTTTGGGGCTTGTTTAGGGGGCTACTTGGCTTTGCACAGTAGGGACTAGAGCATACATAAGGGTTATATAGGGAAATAAGAGCCTTCTAGGGGTCCCTCCCTATGCCCCTCACCCTAAACCCCAAACCCCAAACCCTAAACCCAAAACCCTAAACCCCTTAAGAGAAGTGGCAGGAACTGGTCCAGGACGGAGGATGTCACCGACCACAAGATCAGCATCGCCAGCGCAGTGCGGAAGCTGGTGCGGCGCCAGAATCTTGGGTTTTTTGTTCAGGAGCTTTATTAGGTTTAGGGTTTAGGGCTAGGGTTTAGGGGTTTGAGGGTGTTTGTGGGTTGAGGGTTACGGTTGTTAAGGAGCTTAGGTTTAGGGTTTAGGGCTAGGGTTTAGGGTTTAGGGCTGAGGGTTCAGGACCTTGCGCAGTGCAAAATAAGGAAATTGCACTTTTGGTGAAGTAGGCCTTTCTGGGTCGTTCTTCTTCCCCGGGTTGCTCAGCACCCTAAACCCTAAACCCTAAACCCTAAACCCTAAACTTGAGGAACATACATGCCAAGATCGTCGTGGAGGTGCCCTTGCGACCCACCTCCGAATCCATCCAAGAGGACTTTGTCCTTGTTGGTTGCAATTTTACTTGTGCATCTTTGTCATATTAAGTTCGAATAAAACATATAATTTTGAATATAGCCCCAACAATGAAGCAGAGGAGCACAACGCCGTGGTCAGCTCGCAGATGGTTTGAAGGGCGGCCCCCCCTTTCTCTTGGAGAAGTGTTTAAGCTTTACAAGCGATGTGTCGCCCCGTGTGCCTTTGGCGTTCAGTTGTCTTCGGCAACGTCCAGATTTTAATATATAGCTGGGAAAGGCGAGCGTCAGGACCTTGAATCTCAACTTTATTTTATGAGCCTACTCCTAGTTCTAGATTCTAGACGACTGACGCCCAGATGCCCCTTTCCCACTCCAGTCTTGATCGAAATAGAAGAATTAAAGAGTCTTTCTTGCCTCTGGTGCAAGGCTTTGTCTACGAAAGTAGTGGAGATTGCCACCAGCAGATGCAGGGTTGTGCAGCTCGCTCGTCGCACATGCAAGCTCATCAGACTCGGGGGTTTGCGAAAGACATGGAGCAACCACACCCTTAGGGTTTAGGCCATTTAGGGTTTAGGGTTTAGGGTTTAGGGTTTAGGGTTTAGGGTTGTCTATTCCATGCGATACCCCACGCGCAGCATGCACGGCACCACAGCCGCGTTCGCAGTGTAGTTGACCCTATCTAGTGCCCAGAAGCTCCTAAACCCTAACGCAACAAAACCCTGACCCCTAAACCCTAAACCCTAAGCCCCAAACCCTAAACCCTAAGCCTCAAACCCTAAAGAAACCCCAAACACTAAAGCCCAAACCCCAAACCCTAAACCTCTAACCCTAAACCCCAAACCCTAGACTTACCCCAAACCCTAAACCCTAAACCCTAAACCCCAAACCCTAAACCCTAAACCCCACACCCTAAACCCCACACCCTAAACCCTAAACCCTAAACCCTAAACCCTAAACCCTAAACCCTAAACCCTAAACCCAAAGTTGACTCCAGCCATAGGCCCAAGAGGCGCTCCAATTCATCGACGAAGACAAGGAGGCCCCTGGCGGGTCTGCACAAGAAGCGAGTTACGGGTTTGGGGTTTCAGGTTTAGGGTTTAGGATTTTGAGTTTAAGGGTTTAGGGATTTGGGGTGTAGGGTTTTTGGGTTTTGGGGTTTTGGGGTTTTGGGGGTTTGGGGGGTTTGGAGTTCAGGGTTCGCGGGCTGGGGTTTAGGGCCTAAGGTATTAGGTACCCAAAAACCTTATTTAGTATGTTTTTTAGCTACCTCATCTCATAATCGAGGGTCTGGATTTCTTAAATTTAAGAAATCGAGGGGCTGGATTTCTTAAATTTAAGAAATCGAGGGGCTGAGTTTCTTATTTGAGGGGGGCTTTTCATTCGGCGGTTGCCAAAAACAACCAAACTAAGAAATTTCGGGCCCAGGATGAGGGTACCCTCGATTTCTTAATTTAGTCTTGCTCTCAATTTTCGCATTTTTTATCCGGGATCCAGCCGCGAGGATGCTCGTTTCTTAATCCAATGATTTCTTAACCAGTGCTGTCACTGTACTACAAATGGACCCTCTGGGTAGGTTCCTCTTGGGCCTGGGTTTGCTCTCATCAACACGCCCAGGCGAAGGAACACAGAATTCCAGTGAACCCTCTACACCAGAATCCGGAGCTGCGTGCTTCCTCAAACCCTAAACCCCAAACCCTAAACCGCAAACCCTAAACCCCAAGCCCTAAACCCCAAAACCCCAAACCCTGAATCTCAAGCCCCAAACCCCAAGACCTAAACCCCAAACCCTAACCCCAAACCCTAAACCCCACACTCTAAACCCCAAACCCCAAACCCCAAACCCTAAACCTCAAGCCTTCGCCACAGGCATCCTCGTCTCTTGCGACTCCTTTGGGTGGAGCGCCTCCTCGTCCTCCTTCTCAGGCGGGGTCCAGGGATTCATCTGAGTGTTGGGGTTTGGGGTTTGGGGTTCGGGGTTTGGGGTTTGGGGTTTGGGGTCCCCTCAAGGTTCCTCTTCACATACTCCGAATACGGCCCTTATCTTGCCTGGAGGATCTTTTAGACGGGTCCCCAAAAACCCAAGGGTACAACATGGTACAGCCTTCGGGGTCCGTAAAACCCCTAGGCTTCAGACCCTAATTAATTTTCGCTTCTTTGTTGCCAGGCCCTGGGCTCGACATCAAACTTCCGCCACCATTTAAAGGGTTGGATGGGTTGGGTTTGGGGTTTAGGGTTTAGGGTTTAGGGTTTAGGCTTTAGGGTTTAGGGTTTAGGGTTCAGGGTTTAGGGTTTAGGGTTTAGGGTTTAGGGCCGAGGCTTTAGGACTCAGGCTTGAGGGTGTGGCATTGGCCAGCTGAACGCACTAGTAGCTGCACGCAAGAGCATGAAGACATGCCATCCAATCACTGCACGCAACTGTTTTAGGGTTTAGGGTTTAGGGTTTAGGGTTTAGGGTTTAGCACCCTTCTTCAAGCCGGAGCCAGCCCAAACCAAGCCAAGGCCATTCCAAATTCGCACGTGAAACTGCTTTAGGGTTTAGGGTTTAGGGTTTAGGGTTTAGGGTTTAGGGTTTAGGGTTTAGGGTTTAGGGTTTAGGGTTTAGGGGACACTTGAGCCACGCGGGACACCTGGGCACCTGAAACGCGGGAAGACTTGACGCGAGACTTTTGCGTCACTGCGGATGGGCTCTTGAAGATGATAGGACCAGGTAGGGTCACCCTAAACCCTAAACCCTAACCCTAAACCCTAAACCCTAAACCCTAAACCCTCAACCGCCCCTGTACCCTGATGCCGTCGGCTCGTAGTTGCAGGCCGAGGAGCACCTGCCCTGGTGGCGCGCTCAGTATTACGAACGGGTTTAGGGTTTAGGGTTTAGGGTTTAGGGTTTGGGGGCTCAACTGTCATGATATCACTATCCCATTCAGATCACTTGTGCCATGGATATCATTGGGCTTGTTTGTTTAGACTTGTAAAGCTTGTCATCCTCATATCATTGTATCAGTACATGATTATTTTGCATCATGCTGCCTTTTTGTCCTGCGATCATTAGAGTAATTGATTAATACCATTGTAATCTTCATGGTATCATTGCATCATTGAACTCTGTTGCACTTTCACCAGTATATTCTGATAGTTATACCATTTAGTCACTAAATCATTCTAGCACGTCAACCATGGGTATCTTCGCATCATTGCATGATAGATTGTGTCACTTCATCCTCACAACATTGCCAGTATGCCATGCTACCATTTCATGCCGCAGTACCGTTCTGAACTTGAAGCAACATCCCCTTACCACCCCAAACAAACCAATCAAGCAGGTCTTGATATGTCCTGGGCTATCCTTGATAGGGACTGGCAGTCAGGTGGGCCTTTTTGGTCATTGGCCTGGCCCTGTCGATCGCTTCGTCTGTGGCGCTGCTTCAGGAGCTTGTTGCCATTGCGGCGGAGACATGTTGCTTCACATCACTGGGCTAAGATCTGATCATCGTGATGATGGGGGGCCAGCATCATCAAACCCCAACCTTAAGTCCAGAATCTTAAGCCCTAAACCCTAAACCCTAAACCCTAAACCCTAAACCCTAAACCCTAAACCCTAATTCTAGAGATCGTGCACAATCTTGTGCAGCCCACGCCAGGCCGTGGAGGACGTCCAGAAGTCTTGGCGCCGCAAGCAGACTCCGATCAGCGCCACACCAAGAGCTCGAGGGAAATTTGGTGGTTTTAGGGTTTAGGTTTATGGGTTTAAGGTTTAGGCTTTAGGGTTTAGGGTTTAGGGTTTAAGGTGTGATCCAGTTCATAAGGGAATCCTACTATTTAGGGGTCTATTTTCGGGGTCCCCTGTTGTCGTAAACCCCCATTTGGGTTTTAGGGTTGAGGGCTGCGGGGTACGAATTCTCAGACTGATCCTTCTTGGTCGTGCCTATTCACGAAGGCAGTCAGAGGCACGAGGACAGTGAGTTACAGTATTGCATTTCTTACATTCGAACGTTCTTACATAACGACCAGCTGTGATTATCTTCGTGTCTTTCTTAGGTGCTACCTTACGTTAACAGTATTCTTCATATGATTGTCTTTGTATGTAGAGTACTTTAGTGTTAGATTTTATAGTGCATGAGCCTTAGGAGTCAAGTGGTCAGCCAGGACATGAATGCATGTTTAATGTCACGTTACTAGCTTACACTTCTCATGCTGCACTTTCATCTTATGCCTTGATCCCGAGACCCAAAACCCTGAACACTTCCGCCCCCCCCCCCCCCCCCCCATCCTCATCAATCCGCAAGCCCAAAAGACTCTGTAGGGCACCCGAATTCCCTCATTTTTGAAAGTAGTTTCATGGGCCCTTAGTATGGTCCCTGACCTTCGGGTATGTAAGGGGTCCCCTTTGAAGGGTATAGATGAGGGACCATGTAACTACTCTAAGATCATTCTCTACTTAGAACCAGACAGTTAACCTCCAATGCAGCGATCTAGCCCAGGTATCGCCGCCGCGGATTCTAGCGATGATCTGGAGGAAACCCGCGAGGTGCCCGCTTTTTACCCTAAACCCCAAACCCCAAACCCCAAACCCTAAACCCTAAACCCTAAACCCTAAACCCTAAACCCTAAACCCTAGGGCTTCGGGTGGCTTCACGAAGGAAGCACGAAGCCCGGACACCCATAGCAAGCCCAGAACAGGGGCACCTGTAGCCCTAAACCCTAAACCCTAAACCCTAAACCCTGGGGTAGGCACTGCAAGGGCACCCCAAAAAGAAGCAACATGGGCCCACAGGGTTTGTAGGTACCCTGCATAAACGTGGCTCAGGGTTAAGAGGGTTTCGGGACACTGATCCCTTTGCACCTGAAGTCCTAGACCCCAGCGGTTGGCAGGGTTTAGGGGTTAGGCTTTAGGGCTTGGGGTTTAGGGTTTAGGGTTTCCAGGGCTTCGGTTTCTAGGGAAGCCTGGAAGGTGCTTCTGCCCCCAGCGAGTCCGTTGGCCCGGGTGCTTAGCCTGAGGCTTCCTGAAGCCCCGAGGGGTTTAGGGTTCAGGGTTTAGGGTTTAGGGTTTCGGATTTCGTGTTTCGGGTTTGGAAATTCTACCTCGGACCCCTAGGGTTGGGTTTTGGGGGGGCCCTTTCTAAAGATCCTCTACTAAGGGAGAAAGGCCACATTATGAGCATATGAAAGGGGGTACAACCTTAGCGGTACGAGTCTTAATCCCTTGGGGTGTCTGGTAACTTGGTAGCCCAGTGGTACTTTGCCCCCTTTTTGGGTTTAGCCTCAAGGTTTAGGGTTTAAGGGTTTAGGGTTTAGAGGGTTTCGGGTGTAGGGTTAGGGTTTAGGGTTTAGGGTTTAGGGTTTAGGGTTTAGGGTTTAGGGTTTAGGGTTTAGGTCCCCTTGTAAAGTAACCAACCCCAAGAAAGGGTTAGAACATGGTTACTGGGCTACCAAGAAAAATGCCGAACAAAGACGGAGGGTTAGGGTTCAGGGTATAGAGTTTAGGGTGTAGGGGTATTTGGCTGTAAGGTTTAGAGGTCGGTTGTAGGTTTGTTTAAGGTTTGGAGGTTTGGCGTTTGTTTTTAGGTGCTTAGGCTGTTTAGGTTTGGAGGTAGGTTTGGGGGTGGAGGGTTTGCAGAGGGCTTAGGGGTCCTGCTTTTAAGTTCGAGGGTTTCAGGGCTAGGTTTGGGGTTTAGGGTTTGTTGGGTTTTTTGGGGTGAGTTGGGGTGTTTAGGGCTTTTAGGCTTCAGGTTTTGTAGTGGTTGGAGTTTTCAGGTTGGGAGGCAGGTCTCGGGTTTAAGGTTTACAGGGGGTTTGGGGATTCGGGTTTGAAGGGGTTTTCGTGTCTTTACGGATTTGTGAGGGTTTGACAGTGTCGAGGGACGCCCACACCTGACTTTCTAAAAACCCTAAACCCTGAACCCTGAACCCTAAACCCTATCAACCCCTAAACCCTAAACCGACATGGTTTTCTCCAGCATAGGTCCTCAACGCACCAGGGCTGGCGCCTCCAATGCCAGGAGGGGAGGTGGCTTTCCCCCGAAAGGGTGGCACTCGGAGTTTCGGGTTCGGGGTTTGGGGTTAAGGGGTTGGGGTTTAGGATTTGGGGGTTTTCGGTCTTGGTGTTTGGGGTTTTAGAGTTTCGGGCTTAGGGTTTTCGGGCTTATAGCGCTTTCTGTTCTTTCGGCCTGGCCGCTCGAAATCCCTTGACCCAAAAAATGGCTAGCACCAGACCCAGCCCAGGAATTAACAGTGTGCCCTTCTTGGTGTCCTTCGGCTTGTAAGGGTACCTGAACCCGAAAAGAAACGTTTCGAAGGGTAGCTACAAGGGCCCTTAATATGGTCCCTTAATGGTCCCTTACCTCCTGTAAAGGGTTCTGAAGTATGGGCCCCTAGGTTGCATGTATATAAGGTATATAAGGCGTCCCCGTTTAAGGGCTCATATTTTCTCAATGTTATGGGAGTCTCTTGGTGGCTGGGTATTATATCAGAGCCGTAAACATAACGCTACCATAAAACTGCTCGATCCGGAGCTGCTGAACCCTAGACCCTCCCTAGACCCTAAACCCTGAACCCTAAATTCTAAACTCTAAGAAGCCTGCCAGGCCGTCACCAGCTCTCCAGGACGCCAGATCCATCTTTCTCTGCCAAAGGCGTGGCTTGTTGAAGTTTCGGGGTTCAGGGGGCGCCTGAAGCCCACAATCGCTACACAACCCTAAACCCTAAACCCTAAACCCCAGACCCTAAATCCTGAACCCTAAACACTAAACCCTCAAGCCCCCTGTAACTTGAAATTATTAAGAGAAATCTAAAAAACGAAATTCCTTGAATCTCCTCGAAACTCCTCGAAACTTCCCCGGACCTGAACCCTTCATAATTTAAATTATTAAGAACAATCAAAAAAACGAAACTCCTTGAAACTCCTCGAAACTCCTCGAAACTTCCCCGGACCTGAACCCTTAATAATTTCAATAAACCCTAAACCCTAAACCCTAAACCCTAAACCCTAAACCCTAAACCCTAAACCCTAAACCCTTCCCCAGAATCCCATAATTCCTAACGAGCCCCGTCATGTGAACAGGCAGTTCCCGGCCAAGCGCAAAGCGGAGTACCTGCTCCCGGCAGCCCTTTGGTGCAGGCATGGGCTGGGAGTTGGGTTTAGGGTGTAGGGTTTAGGGCTGGAAGTTGGGAGATTCCGGAACTACAGAGGGTTGTTGTTGAGGGCTTCTAGCGCTTGTCGGATGTTGTATTAATGCTTACAGGGCTTCTGGGCGTTTGCTTTTCATCTGTTTTTGCGGTCTTGGGGCTTAGGGTTCTTGTAGGATCTGTTGGGCTTATGGAATAGCTTGGACCGAAGAGTAGGTCCAGATTCCCCTTTTGGGGGGGGTTTGGGTTCCCTTGTAAGCCCCTTTCAACCGACAAGGGCACCCTTTTTATTCCTGGGTTACTCTTGGGTCGAGATAGGGGCTTCTAGAGCTTCTGAGGTTTCGAGGGCTGCTGAGGTTCCGGGTTTGCTGGGCTTTACGGGGCTTCTAGGGCTTATGAGCGGTAGAGGGCACTTGAGGTTTGAGGGTGTAGGGTTTGGGGTTACAGGCAATAGTGGCATCGGAGGCCGGCGTTTTTTGTTGCTAGTGCTCGTCAGAAGGTCGACACTTGCAGCAGTCGAGCTTTCGAGACAGCAGGACGTTATTTGGGTTCGAAACCCTAAGCCCTAAACCCTAAACCCCATAAACCCTATAAACCCTACAAACCCTAAACCCCATAAACCCTATAAACCCTATAAACCCTATAAACCCTAAGCCCGCTGCGAAGGTCTTCTATGCGAGCTCTCCGGTGGCTGCCAGCTCAGTCGTCATTTTGCCAAGCTGTGCACTTGAGGGCTCTTCTATGGATTTTCGGTTTTTACTTGGAGGTTCATGGTACTTATTCACCCATTATGACTGTACCTAGAACCACATTGGGGCACTCAAGGGGCTTATGAGTGGGTTAGAAGTACAGTTCTAATTGGTTAATAAGTACCCTGAACCTCCAAGGAGGGTCTGGTTTAGAGTTTAGATAGGATCTAGGGCAAGAGGGCCTTCCCTTTCACAATCAGTCTTGTCTCAGACATACCGAAAATCTGAGATCGTCCCCACATTGCCCACTTGTTGTGGGAGCCTCGTTGCCCCTGGGTGGGTTCGGCAACAGGTCCTCTCAGAGATACCCCTGAACCCTAAACCCTAAACCCTAAACCCTAAACCCTAAACCCTAAACTCCCAAACCCTTCACAATGCCTCCCCCAACTGAACCTATTTCATTGTAGCCAGCCCTCAACGACCAGGAGCCAGAGTAGGCCCTTCTTCCCTATTTCGGAAGGGGGGGGGGGGGGGGGGGTTAGGTTCCCTTAGCAGGCCCTTTATACCACAAAGGCCACCGCTTGTTATTCCTAGCTTCTACTGCAGGAAATGGGCAGCAATTTGCAAAGTAATCCCGTTTGGCAATGATGCTACAGATCACACGCCTGGATATGTGGCTTGTGCAGGTCAGCCCATCGCAAAGGTGAGCTGCCCAACAGGGTTTAGGAGGTTCGGGTCTTAGGTTTAAAGGTTTAGGGTTTAGGGTTTAGGGTTTAGGGTTTAGGGTTTAGGGTTTAGGGTTTAGGGTTTAGGGTTTAGGGTTTAGGGTTTAGGGGCTTCGCGAAGTTGGTGCGGGCGCGTTCTCGGAACTTGAGAGCGTACCCGCCAGGAAGATGGAATGTCCAGGGCCATGATCTTCCTGAGCCCGTGTGGACGGCCTTGGATTTGAGTCTTTTCGGGTTTAGGTAGCTGTTTGGGGTTTTTTTGTTTAGGGTATCAGTCCTTATAGAGCTTCGAGTTTCATAAGTTTGATAGGGCTCATCAGTGGGCTGGCCATGGGGATTTTCGATTCCAGAAAGCCCCTGACTAAATCCGCAATAAACTTTCTGAGAAGGATACGTCTGCACCAGATTTCATGGCTACTACCCCCTCTATACTACCCCCCCTAGGTCCCCCCCATAATTAAGGCTATTTAGGGAGAAATAAGCCGTATGAAGGGAACTTCAGGGGGGAAGCCCAGGTTAGTCAGGGGCCCATTGGCCTTCTTGAACTTCTGCCGGTTGACACGGCAGTTGGGTGAAGAGTGGACTTCACGCAAGGCCACCCCCCCTTGACTGCCCAAATGCACCCTACATACTTGGGCAAATATGAACACCCAAATAATCCCTATGCAGGCTCGTAAACTCCGAAGAACCTGGTACCTCAAGAACCCCAAAGCCTACTCACTGCGGGCTGTAAGGGGCTCTGATACGAAGAGCCCGTCGAGAAGTAGGTTTTGGGTTCTTAAGAGCTCCTGAGGTGGATCCCATTGAGTCACCAACGTAATACCTGCTTTGTCCACAGCTAGGTGGACTGCTGGGCATGAAATTGGACGGCTCGGACGCTGCACCGCCCCGTCCACTGAGTCCAGCACCCTGGTCCTGGCACCAGCGAAATCTGCTGAGCCGCGACCCCGAAAAAGAGATGCGCGTCTCGCGGTGGGGCCATCCCCTGATATTTTTAACCCCAACTTCTGCAACTGAAGCCAAACAACACAACAGTCGCAACTCCCATAAACCCCAAACCCTAAACCCTAAACCCTAAGCCCCTTGAACCTGCGCGGGGGCTGCACCGGCCCATCCTTTTTTCATGTCTCTACTGTACTCGTGACTTGTAGAAGCCTGAGTAGAACGGTGGAGAAGGGTTTAAAACAAATTACCTAGTTGTCAATATAAGACTATATGGTTATATGGCCCCATCAACAAAATGAATGACCCAGGTCGCGGTCAAGCGCTACAGGAGAGAGAGAGAGAGAGAGCGAGAGGGAGAGAGCGCGAAAACGAAGGGTTTAAACAGAAAGGAAAGCGAAGGGTTTAAACAGAAAGGAAAGCAGGATAGCATAATCAAAACAAAGGAAGGAAGAAGTCACAAACGACAGAGAGACAGGAAGGACAAAAAGAACCGAAAACGAGCCACGCCCCCTCCCCCCCCTCCATAACTGTTTTTTGGACAGCTCGCGTAGTCTTTGGGCTGGTGTTAGCCCTAAATTTGGGATGTTCCCCCTTATACTAACAGCCCGTAATTCGGATTCGAATAGCGGGTACTAAAAGGACTGTTAGTATAAGGGGGCCCCCAGAATCACCGTGGAATCTTGAGCCTGAAGGGGTTCATGGTGACGTTTGTTTTTTTTTGCCGGCCTGGGGGCAGATGAAAACCGCCAACCTGGACAACTTCGACCTCATCCACGAGGAGGTCGCCAAGGTCATGGAGAAGGCCGACTTGTTGTGGGTTTAGGGTGCCGTGTTTACCCCCCCTCTCGGTGTCGGTCGGGTCTCCCAGAATAACCCTTCAAGGAATGATAGGGTACCCAACTCCCTAAACCCTGAACCCCGCACATCCTCCCAGAATCCGAATTCTCAGGAGTACAAGCGAAACCCCCATGTGAACCCTAAACGCCCCAAAGCCCTAAGCATCCGTAAGCCCTGAACCTTAATACGAATCTAAGGTTGAAAACCATGCCTCAGTGTGGTCCCTTACCCTTGTTGACAGGGATCCGAAGTATGGCCTTATAACAATGGACCCAAATTCAGGGCCCAGACGGCTTGGAAACCCCCGGCGAAACCCCCGGCGGCCAACAGGAGCTAGACAAGTGCGGATCACTCAAGGCCCTGATCCAAGCAGAGCACGACAAGGCCGGAACGAAGGGTTTGGGGTCTAGGGTTGAGGGTTTAGGGTAGTTTAGGGTTCGGCATCTCAAGTCCAGGCATTCACTAGTGCCCCCACCCCCCCCCCCCCCCCAACAAAGAAAAAAGAAGCAACCCCAAACCCCAAACACCCTAAACCCTAAACACCCTAAACCCCAAACAACCTGAACCCCAAACACCCCAAACGCCCTAAACCCTGAACACCCTAAGCCCCTAGGCCCTAAACACCCCAATCCCCAAACACCCTAGTTCCCTACATCCTAAACCCTAAACCCTAAACCCCAAACCCTAAACCCTAAACCCTAAACTCCTCAAAACCCCCTGGTTTCCCCAGGGCTGGGAGCAAGTTAAGCTGCGCATGGAGCAGCTCCAGGCTGCTAAGCAGAAGATCCAGGAGACGCATCGGTTGACTGTTTAGTAGTTTAGGATGCTTCGGGCATTTAGGGTTTAGGGTTTAGGTTTTAGGGTTTAGGGTTTGGGGTTTAGGGTTTAGGGTTTAGGGGGCTTGGGGCATTTGGGGCGTTTACTGCGTGTTTGGGGGGTTCAGGGCGTTTCAGGTTCAGCATGCGTGATTGGGGTTTAGAGAAAGGGGTTCAGATCAACGGCATTGATAAGGTTGAGGGGAGGCTTCTAGGGCTCAGAAGGTTCTAGTTGTTTGGTTTGTAGCATGGTGGCGTTGTTTTTTTGGTTTAGGGTTTAGGGTTTCGGGTTTAGAGTTTAGGTTCAGGTCTGTAGGCCGCTACAACCTTGTGATCAATCGAGTGGTGCAAAGATCCTGTGTCTGACAGGCCCAATGAGACAATGATGAACCCTAATTAGTGCTTTATCTGGGTGATTGGAAGACCATTTTGCATGTTTATGAATACTTAATCCCAAACAAGGAACACACATGATCATTCTCAAGTAGTACCCCAACAATGGTGCAGATATGGGCCATATGCCTGAATACGGTGTATCGTAGTATAGGGTATCTTATGACCCCCACAGGTTCATGCTCCATGTACCTTGCTGGGGATTATAGTAGCATGGGGCTATATGCTCCCAATGATAGGGTTCATTAGACCCCAAGGAATGAAACTCATCCCGAGGCGGGCCCCCATCGGTCGGAGAATGTCCTTAGGTACCTCATGTCCCCCTACCGTCAGGGATCACTCTAGGGAACGACCTTCCGCCTTCACAGCAGCCAAAGAAGACCCTAGATCATCAACGCCTTCTGCATAGCTTCGGACCTGCGCTCCGCCGCTGCAGGAGCAAAAGAGAGCGACGAAGGCGAGTGTAGGGTTCAAGGTGTTGGGATGACGGTTAGGGTTAGGGTGTTGAGTTTAGAGCTACCTGCTGCGGAAGGCCCCTGAGCGCGAAGTGGCTTGCGCAGCCTCGCGGTTCCCGACTGTCGCCAGTCGTGAAGCAGTGACGTCATACATCCTAAACCCTAAAACCCTAAACCCTATACCCTACAGCTATCAAGCCCTCAACGTCTAGACGACTTCTAGGGCTTCAGATGTCTTGGATCTAAATAGGGGCCTGAATAATTAGAATAGGGTTTTGGCAATTTGGGGGTTGCAGCTATCTTATAGCATCCTGACATCAGGAATGTACTGTGTTCTCATGTAAACAGCCAAGATGTTAGTTGAAGTAATGAGCCTGGTCAGTAGGTTCTGAATGGTATAGTATTTTTCAACGCTCCCCTGCAGCTACATCCTTTGAAGGCCTTGTTTTCGGGATGCGCTACTTGGAGATAACCAAACCCTAATCCCTAAACCCTTGACACTAACTCTAGACTCAACCCCAAACCCTAAACCCCCAACGCTAAACCCTGAACCCCAAACCCTAAACCCCCAACGCTAAACCCTAAACTCCAAACCACAGACCCTAAAACCTAAATACCCAAGCCAGGAGAAGGCGGAGGTCCACGTGAAGGATTCGAAGCTGTTGTGCAGCTCGTTGTTACTTGACCCTAAACCCTAAACCCTAAACCCTAAACCCTAAACCCTAAACCCTAAACCAAAAACCCTAAGGTCCCTTGTCTGCGTCCCTCCTTTAGTCCCTTGATGGGTAGTCCCAGGGGACAAATTTTGGCATGTTCCCTACACGTGCCTGCCATTCGAGGCTCTGGTCTGATAATAGTAGAATGATCGTATCTTAATAATTTAGTACTACAATTGCATAGCCATACAAAATCGTATAAACTGCCAATGCAAAAGTGGGGAATGTATTTGGGATATCCGAAGCGCAGGAGGGTCGAAGCCATATGAGCTCCGCACTTTGTGCGTTGTGGGTTTCGGCTGCAAATGCCCCGGAATCATACAGGGTTTGGGGTTTAGGGTTCAAGGGGGCGGCAGCTTTGTCACAACCCCCCCCCCCCCCCCCAAGCCTGTTGCCAGGAGCTGGACGAAGCCGTTGCAGCAGCTGAGGTGTGCCCTCAGGTTTTGCAGTTGCATTTGCTGCTTCTGGGATTGAGAACATCGCTGTCCTCTTGCTCTGGGCGGGCGCGGGCTTTGCAGCTGTACGTTGTGATACTGGTGATTGATGCTTCCGAAAACAGCCCTAAACCCTCCTTCACAGGCTGCTGCCTCGGTCTTGAAGGAGGCCGCCGAGAGGCTGACGGTCGATGGGGCAGCTGGGCTCTCGGCTCCTGTAGGGAATGAGGTAATGAGGTACCATATACAAATCCATTAAAGGGTAAACCTAAACCCTAGACCTAAACCGCTTTAGAGCTTTGGGATGTCTCATGTCTTGCTAGAGGTTTGGTGGGCTTCAATTTACGAAAGCTTAGCGGTCTAGAGTCCAGGAAGGTATACTTCTGGCGTTGCCAAAGCCAAGGATGCCCCCAATCAAAGAGGGTCCATGTGTAGTACTTGTTTAAGGTTTAGGGTTTAGGGTTTAGGGTTTTAGGGTTTAGGGTTTAGGGTTTAGGGTTTAGGGTTTAGGGTTTAGGGGTACTAGTATCGAATTCGGTACCCGGAAAAACGAATACATCGTGCTACCAGTGGGGCCCCTGGGTTTCAATACCCCCTTAGATACCCTCTGCAAGCCAAGGGAAGCCCTTAAAGGACAATGTACCTACCGATTGGCTCTAGACCCTAAACCTTAAACCCTAAACCCTAACCCTAAACCCTAAACCCGAAGCCCATGAAACTAAGTGCTACCAAGAATGGACCCTCTTCTGGGAACCCGATTTGTGGTGTGGGCCATCGCTGCACTGGTGCCCAGGAGAAGTTCAAGCTCGAGCAGGCCAGGGCTGTGGCCCAAGGTCAAGAAGATTGGCTCTAAACCCTAAACCCCAAACCCTAAACCCTAAACCCGAAGCCCTACAAACCCTAAAGGAATGTGAGGGTTTTCAGGCTCTAGAGGGCGGATTTTGGGTCTCCAGGGTCTTGAACCCAGGGTTTCCCGGAGCTGAGCTCAGGAGACTGGTCTTTGACGCGCTGTTTTAGGCTTAGGGTTTGGGGTTTCATGTTTGGGTGCAGGCTTTGGGGTGTGTGGGTCTAGGGGTTTAGGGGTTTATTGGGGTTTCTGGCTCATGGGGCATGTCGCGCCGAGAGGCTTACTGGGTTGCTTTGGAGCAAAATGCACTCCCACGGAGCCCTTGTAACCCACGGAATTTCAGATTTTCCTGGGGCCCCCCCCTAAAAGCACCCCGGCTAAGGGGCCCAGGGCATTGTTGCATACCTCCGAGGTCTTTATACGATTCTGTGCTGGCCGGTGTTTCGAACTCTGCAAAGGTCATCTGGCTGTCTCTAGACCTTGAACCCTAGACCTCAAAAACCCGGTACCCCAGACCCCTAAACCCTTAAACCCCTCAACCCCTAAACTCCGAAAACCCCGAAAACCCTAAACGCCTAAACCTTAAAGCCTTTTCGTTTTTGAGCTCGTGGCGCCGTTCGTGATGCGCCGCCGCAGTCCACTGCTCGGCCTTTCTCAGCAGCAGAGCACACATCCACGAACCCTAAACCCTAAACACTAAACCCCAAACCCGAAGGGTTTCACGGAAATCTCGGGTCTCTTCGGGTTGTTCCCGCATCTACGGCAGCCGTGCCCAAGATTGGAGTAGGTCTCGTTTGATTCAGGGGGGGAGAGTCCGACTCTCCCCTCAAAAAAGCGCAACCTTGAGCAGTCGACCCAAACAACCATGCATGATGAGTCTATAAAGGAATTCTAGGGGATGTCAGCGCTTGGTTTTTTTTGGGGGTGTACTTGTAGGGATTGCATGCATCATAAGCCTCCACAGGCCCAGCGCCGACCCACAACTCAACTTGAAGTCGTCTTCCTAAGCCCTAAGCCCTAAGCCCTAAACCCCTCAACTCGAAACCCTGAAACCCTAAACCCAAAACGCCCTAAGCTCTAAGCCCTGAACCCTGTAAGAGCAAGCAAGCACCGAGCGACAGAGAGAGAGACTCCCGCTTGCAGCGCCGGCCGGCGAGGCCCCAGTGGATTTGATGAACTGGACTTGGGGCTTGAAACCCTGACCTCTAAAACCCGAAACGCTGAACCCTTGAAACCCTAAACCCCTTGAACCCCAAAACCCCCAAAACCTCTAAACCCTACACCCCTCAACCCCCGAGATCCCAAAATCAAGACCCTTAGCCCCCTAAGCCCCTGAAACCTTAATCCTCCAACACCCCAGTGCAGGCCGTTCACCTCCTGGCTGTTTACGGTTTAGGGTTTGGTAGGGTTTGGGGTTTCGGGTTTTGGTAGCCTTGAAACTCTTAGGAACATGTCTTAACAGAGGTCCCATACGGCGCGGGCCCGCGATTTAGATAAGCCTCCATGCGTGAAATGGTTTTATTCATGAACACATTGCACTGACACGAGTAGGGTGCAGGATTCTTCGTGTACGGTTCTATGTTAGTTGATTTAGGAAAAACCCTAAGCCCTAAGCCCTAAGCCCTAAACCCTAAACCCTTACTAAACCCTAAACCCTAAACCCTAAACAGGCTTGAATCTTACGCTTTCTTGGAGGCCCTTGGGCGGCTTTGGACATGTGCCAGCCTTAGGCGTCCGCAGGTTTGGCTTGGACGTTTTGACTTCCCGGACCCCCCTTCCCCCCCCCCCCCCAAAAAAAAAATAAAATAAAATTAAGATAAAACAAAAACAAAAAATATAATTAAAATGATGCACATAAAACACGGACCCTCAAATGACTAGCAGAGGGTCCTCATGCAGGGGGTTGCGCCTTACGCTTGGGACTGTTGCTTCCTCTCCATGGGTAGAATCGCCAGAGAATCACCCTTCGCATTCTTAATGCTAAGCCTTAAAGCCAAACAGCTCATCATACATGACATTCAATGTGTGATTAGTATGCGTTGTAGTAGCACAGTTTATATATGTGTACATTTAAGAATCGGTCTTTCTCTCTCTCTCTCTCTATGTAGATGCACACATATTATATGTGAGTATGCACATACATGTGTTTTTTACTTGTGCATTTTTATGATTGAAGATCTATTGGCCACGGTTGAAGTAAGCCCTACAAAAGCCTTGAGCTTTCCAAGGCCTTCACTGAAAGAAAAGAAGAGCCACGACGCGGACGACGTGAATCAGCGCAGGGAGCGCAAGGCTGGGCAGAATTGGGTTCGGAGTTTTGGCTTGAGATGGCTTTAGTAGGGATTAGGGTTTAGGGTTTATTGGCGTTTAGGGTTTGGGACAGAAAAAACTGCGGGCCCACCTCGGTTTGAGAGCGCCAGTAGGAGCAGCCGAAGGCGACAGCCACAGTTGAGCAGCACCGCCAAGCCGTGGACCCTGAACCCCAAAACCCTCAGCCCTAGACCCGAAACCGGAGAGAAACCCAAACCTGGTCACAATGAGCGATGAGCTCGAAGCTGATCACCCTGTGGCATGCGAGGGGACGTCCAAAAAGTAGGCCCAACCTCCCCATACTGGGCTCATGCCTGCGAAGACTCCTCATGTGAAGGTTCTGCAACCAACGGACAACCAGGACAGCTGGTCTCGAGGGTGCAGAGGTGAGAGTACATATGGGCAGTTGTCAAAATTACAAGATGATGGTCCCTTTTTGGATCCCTATTATAATACGGCGCCTTATATTTAGGGTACCCCAAAAGGGTTCATAATTTTGACAACCACCCATATGAAAGCCCCCCCCAAACGGCTTCAACGGCCCAAAGCATTCCCAGAGCCGCCAAGTGCGCGTAAAGAAGGCCTGGGTTTAGGGTTTAGCGTTTAGGGTTTGGGGTTTGGGGTTTGGGGTTTAGGGTTTAGGGGTAGCTTTTGCAGGTTCGTTTGTAAGGCATTGGGTTTAGCCCAGGTTCAAATGCATGGCACAGGCCTCACCCCAGCCATGACGAGCCCTAAGCCCTCTTCCTTTGCGGGGAGAGAGGGGTACTGCACCTAAACCTTTAAACCCGAAACCCCAACACCTAAACCCTACACCCTAAGCCCCCAAACCCCCAAAACCTATAGGCACAAAAGTGGCATACCCCACTCTGCGTGGATCCCCAGGACTTCAACCCTCCCGCTCGGAAGCCAGACCGCTTGGACTACAGCAGGCGCCGGCACGACCCTTCCTGGAGACCCCAAACCCTCGGCCGGAGAAGAAATCCCAAGGCTGTGCCTACAACAGTAATCAGTAAGCCTACTACACCCTCCTACACCCTACCTTTCCCTAGGCCCTAAACCCTAAAGCCCCTAAGAGAAAAGCCCCTAAAATCCAAAAGCCTACACCCCTAAACCCTAAACCCTAAACCCTAAACCCTAAACCCTAAACCCTAAACCCTAAACCCCCAAAACCCGAAACCCCTTCGCGCGCAGTGAGGTTCAACGACATCGGCAACGACGACCGGGACGAGCGTCTACAGACCGGCGACGCGCCGCGGCTTTACTTTGCGGTCACGAAGTAAGTTCGGGGTTTAGGGTTGAGGTTCGTAGGGTTTAGGGCTTAGGGTTTGTGTTTAGGGATTATTGGGTTCATAGGGTTTCGGGTTTAGGGCTTGGGGTTAGGGTGTTTAGGGTTTGAGGGGGGGGGCTTGTTGCTGTAGGCGGGGCGGGGGGTTGAGAAGCTAGTTACTCCGCCCCCTCTGCGGCCGTTGTTTCCTTCTATCACGTAGGATCAAGGGACTGATCAAGGGTTCAGGCTTTTAACTCTAGCAGACTGTTGCGCTCTCGCAGACTTGTGGTAATATGACGCCTTAATAACTAGAGTAAAGGGACCATAAAGGGACCATAAAGGGATGCGTATTCATCCCGACCCCTGTATTCTTTTCCCTAGGGACTGGGTAGGTAACCTGTAACCTTTTAGGCTATATAGAACTCTACTATATGAGCAAGCGCCAAAACCCCCAGCCATTCAATTAAGTAAGGGGTGGACACGAATGCCCAAAACCCTGTAAAACGATGGGAACACTTGAGAAGCGACACCCCTAGGTTAATGAACCGTTGGGTGTGCTATAGCCGTGATTTTTCCCAAAGCGACACCTACAAACATCAAGCGTGGATGATTGATGCTAAAACTCTGTAAAACGATGGGAACACTTGAAAAGCGACACCCCTCTTGTTGCGTCCATTAGCACCTCGAGCCGGTTTTGGCAGTCGTATACAAAAGGCTAACCCTATTATATATATATATATATATGGTCACCCCCCCCCAATGGACCCACCGCGGGCCTTGATCTTTGCAAAAGTACCGCAAATACCGATAAAACCTATGCTGTCTGGTGATTTTCCGGTGACCGGATTTTTGACTGTATTCCTTAATTCACCCTCTCACACACGCACAGAGGGTTTTTCTTTCTGTTGGCTTTTGTTTATAATTTAAGATCTAGGCATTTAAACCAAGCCTGCAAAAAAAAAAAAAACTTAACCTTTAAACCCTGTAGGGTTAAGGTTTAAAGGTTAAGGGTTTAAGATTTAGGCATTTGAACCTATGCCGGTAATTAAAGCTAAGCCCTTAACCTTTAAATTCTATCGGGTTGAGATTTTTACAGGTTTAGGGTTTAAGATGTAGGCATTTAAACCTAAGCCTGCAACTAATTTTAAACCCTTAACCTTTAAACCCTGTAGGGTTAAAGTTTAGAGGCTTAGGGTTTAATATTTAGCCATTTAAACCTGTAGCCAAGCCCTTAACCTTTAAACCCTATAGGGTTAAGATTTTTAAAGGTTTAGGATATAAGATGTAGGCATTTAAACCTAATTAAGCCTGCAACTAATTTTAAACCCTTAACCTTTAAACCCTGTTGGGCTAAGGTTTAAAGGTTTCGGGCTTAAGATTTAGGCATTTAAACCTATTCCGGCAATTTACGCTAAGCCTCTAACCTTTAAACCCTATAGGGTTAAGATATTTAAAGGTTTAGGGTTTAAGTTTAAGGTTTAGGTATTTAGACCTATGCCGGCAGTTCATATTGAACCCTTAACCTTAAACCCCATAGGGATGAGATTTAAAGGTTTAGGATTCTTTACTTAGACATTTAAATCCAAGCTGACGATTCAACCTAAACCCTTAACCTTTAAACCCTATAGGGTGAAGGTTTAAAGTTTTAGGGTTTAAGATTCAGACATTTAAACCTAAGACAGCGATTAACACTAAGCCCTTAACCTTTAAACCCTATAGGGTTAAGGTTTAAAGGTTTGGGGTTTAAGATTCAGGCATTTAAAGCTAAGTATGTAATCAATTTGTCACCCTTAACACCTCTAAACTCTGTAGTGTGAAGGTTTAAAGGCTTAGGGTTTAAAAAAAAACCTAAGCCCCCTAAGCCCATAGAGTTTAAACCTTAAGGGTTTAAGGTTTACGCATCTATTCCTTAACCCTAAACCCTCTAGGGTCAGGACCCTAAAGCCCTCGGCAATCAAGCCTAAACCCTTGACCTTCAAACCCCATAGGATGAAGGTTTAAAGGTTTGGGGTTTAAGACTTAGGCATTTAAACCTAGAGGGCATTTAAGCCTTAATCCTAAACCCTTTAGGGTCAGAACCTTAGCACCCTATAGGGGTCTAGCACGTTCAAAGGCTTGAACCCTACAGGCGCTGAAGGTATACATGTCCTATCGGTTTTTAAACCATTAAACCCTGTAAGAAGGTTTAGGGTCTTTTCGGGGTCTATCTC